CACACACACACACACACACACACACACACACACACACACACACTTTCAAACACACACTCAGATGATGACTTTCTGCAGACCTGTTGATGTGTGATGCAGATATTGCACGTGCCACTAATGTGTGTGTGTGTGTGTGTGTGTGTGTGTTTTCTCTCTAATTGTGACAGTAGATAAACCAGTTAGCAGTGTTTCAGTGCAAACCGTTGCTTTGACGTTTCAGCAACCTGCAGGGTCCATCTTTATTATTTTTTTTCTTGTAAAGTGGCTGACAATTTTTAACAGCTGCTTTATGGCACGTGCAGGTTTGATGTGGGGGGGGGGATCAATAGGAGGGTTGGGGTTAGGACTGCCCTCATCTCCATGCTTTTGTGAAAGAAAGAAAAAACACTCAGAGCAGAGCAGCATGACGGCAGATGTTCACTTTTAGCCTCAAAGAACCGAAGGAAAGAGAAGTGAAGACTGCGGACTGGAAGCCTTCACGCGCGCGTCCGGGCTGCAGTTTAGTGCGGCCACACAGAGAGGACACTGCGCGAAACCAGAGCTGCAATGCGTGCYTTTTTTTTTCCACCTTCCAAAGCGCACCTGAACTTCAGAGATCTCTGAGAGGATTTATCTGGTGCAACTAAGCGCTCCTGATCCGTGTTCTCCAGCTGATCCCTCTAACAGATCCGCGTCTCACTGAGCTTCACTTGTTTTAGGCTCAGATCACTTCACCCCGATCATCCCCGGTCACACTTCACCTCCGCCTGATTACTTTTCTTTTTATGACAGATCTCGTGCGYTTGCAGCAAAACACACATTCCGTTATGTCAGCTTTTATGAAAAAAAAGAGAGGAAAAAGAGCAGCCTTTCTATGTCTTCTTGGAGACCAAACTGAAAGTGATGCTGAGATTGGAGGAGAATCKTGTGCGCATCGAAGCGCACAAACGCACCACAACTTCTTCCTCTTCTCCTCTCCTTAATACAGAACAGAAGCTGCTGCTGAGGCTTAATGTGCTGCGAAACCCCTGCATCACGGAGACACTCGTCTTTTTGCTTTACCTCACAATAAAATGAAACAACTCACCTTTTGGAAGAAACGCTGAAATCACGAAAAGCGAGAAAGAAATAGCGAGAGATCCGCTCCCCGTGATCGCCATGTTGGATACCTGCTCGAGACTGGCGGCGCTAAATCACCTAGAGACGGCCATGGGATGGAAATGTAAGACACATGAGGGGAGGGGGGAGGCAGGGAGTCACAATCTGGGCTGTGTTAATGTTGCGATGACATCCAGGCTTTAAAAAAAAAAAAACAGAAAGAAAAGGAAAAAACGGCACAAAAAATACAACCCAGCGCGCCCTCGTAGGAGTTTTATACATGTTTAGGTTGTGTTATTGCCTCCTGTTATTGCCCCCCTAAGACACATACTGTAATTCTCTGCAGTGAAATTGAAGGAATATTAAAGTGATTTCATGGGGCGTGAATATAAACAATAATAAAATAAAAATAAGCAGAACTGTGGAGTAAATTCACCACAGCTACTTTCTGGGAATATTATAGTAATTTTCTTTTATGGTTTACGGAGAACATTTTCATTCGGCTTCGGTTTGATTTTCATACCACATAAATCTCTTTGTTTATGTTTTATTATGCAGTATTTATGCTGCACCTAAAGGAAATTATATGTATTTTTTTCTCTTCTTAGACTTCAACGATTTTAAGATGTATTCACAGAAAAAAAAAGTCACATATAATGCTTATTTACCACTAACTAAATGTATATGTGTTGAAAGAGTAGATCTGTGGGTAGTTTAAAAAGACTTTCAATTCTAATAATTTAAAGGCATAAACAAAGTTTGGTGAAACTCAGCCTCTCCAATCCACACCAATGTCTACTCAAAGAGCGCCCCCTCTTCTTTGAACGGTGTACTGCAGCKTTAAAATTACAGCCCAAAGTGTGAAGAATGTCACATCAGAAATGAAATAGTCTGAAATTTACACTTTGTAATGTTTCAGGGTGAATAATGAGCGGCTGAATTCTCTCCTTGGACTTTATTACACCCYCCTGATGTCTCAACTTATTCTCACCTGGAGTACATGAGGACCTATCATCTGAGAATCGCAGAGCCTGCAGGGAGAGGCGCGCATGACAACGTTGAATCTCATTTCCCCCTTTCATTGTGTCAAAACAGCACAAAGGCTGCTAATTGCACAATCTATTCTCTGAGGCTGCGTGTCAGTCCTCATTCCATGGATGAGTAGATAGCATTTAGAACTTCGCTCTAATGCTGCAGCCGTCCCTATCGCTACAGATTGAATTCCACACATCAAATTTATTTCAGATGTTATTATCTGTGGCAGCCTGCCAGTTCTGCCTGCCACTCACACAATGTCTCCACAAGGTGTTTTCTCCTCACAGCAGCAGTGGCCAGGCTGCTGTGTTTTCTGACAGCAACAGCACCAGTGGGCATCAGCCTGCACCTGCTAGAGAAATGCTCAATAAGTCATGATGTCACTTTATATATATATATATAGGCCTATATATATATTTTACACTTGGCACCCCAT